CAAAAAAAAAAAAAAAAAAAACAACAGGCATCGTGATCTACACTTATAATCCTATCTCAAAAACAAAAATAAAGTCCTAAACTAGCAACAGTGCCTCCAGTCTACAATCCCATCACTCTGGGAAGCTGAGATAGGCAGATCAAAGCTTAGCCTGTTTAACTTATTGACCAACCAAGATCCTGTCTCCAAAATAAAAAATTTTTAAAAGGCTGGGGATACAACTCAAGGCAAAGGCCCTGGGTTCAATTCCCACTACCAGATAAAAACAAAACACAATAGAAGAAATCCTAGAGCCCATTGTGGTAGTCCTGCAATCTCAGCTACTCCAGAGGCTGATACAGGAGGATCAGAAGTTCTAGGCCAGTGTAGGCAATCTAGTAAGACCCTGTTTCAAAATAAATATTAAAAAAAAAGAAAAGCTGGGAAGGGGCCAGGGAGATGGCTCGGTGGAATAAGCGCTTCCCTAGCAAGAGCAAGAGCCTGAGTTCAATCCCTGGTTCCACAAAAAAAAAAAAAAGAAAAAAAGAAAAAGAAAAAGAAAAAGAAAGAAGTTTAAAAGATTCCTTAAAATTTCCATTGAATACTCCTTAAAAAAAAAAGCTGGGTATATAGCTCATCCATAGACCTCCTTCCTAACAAGCACAAGGTCCTGGATCAAGTCCCAGTACTGCCAAAAATAAACATAAAAATAAAAAACTTCTCTTGTAATCACAGTATTCAGGAGGCTGAAGCAGGAGGATCGACATGAGTTCAAGGCCAGCCTGGGCTATATCATGAGTTAAGGGCCAGCCTGAACTACACAAGGAGCTGTCTCAAAAAACAAAAACAAAACAAAACAAAAATTCTTCTCATCTGAAGATATATACTGAGATTATTTTTTTTTTTTAATTTTATTTATTTATTTATTTGTGTGTGTGTGGCCAGCTCAGCCCTCCAGGGGGCGGGGGCTGGCTGGCATGTGGTGCTGGGGGATTGAACTGCTGTCCCTGTGCTTTGCTAAGCTTGTTCTAAGTAGGTGCTTTAGACCACTGAGCCATCACACCAGCCCTATACTGAGATTCTTAAGGATAAAATAATATACAATACCAGGAATCAGCTTGACAATTATGAAGACCATCCTGTGACACGTCTAGAATTCCAGCACTTGGGAGGCTGAAGCAAAAAGATTGGGAGTTGGAGGTCAGTCTGGGCTAAGAAAGAAGTTCAAGGCTAGAGGGTAGTTTACTGATGAACCATTCAATATTCTTGAAACATGGGGGATGGTGTTGTACCTCACTACGCCACTCTACTTTTACATGGATTCTGTTTTGTTTGTTTGAGGCAAGAACTTTTTTTTTTTTTTTTGGTGGAACGGGGGATTAAACCCAGGCCCTTGTGCTTTAATCCCTTGATAGGGATTAAACTCAGGCAAGCACTTATTCTACTGAGCCATCTCCCCAGCCCCGAGGCAAGATCTTGCTATCTCATTCAGGCTGGCCTTGAAGTCACTATGTAGTCCAGGCTAGGCAGAAACTCAAAACTCACAGCAATCCTCCTGCCTCAGCCTCCTGTGTAATGGGATTAGAGGTATGCACCACCATGACCAGCCCATGTGTTTCATTTTAAAAGTTCTAAAATAGTCAACAAAAGTTAAAATATTTCAGTTTAAACTATTCCATTGTCACCAAATAATTCTTGTCCAATTCTCTATAATGTACTCTTACTGAGGTCTGGAGAAAAGCAAGTCTGAGTCATTCATATCAAAACTTACAGACACACACACACACACACACCAAAAAAAAAAAAAAAACACCAGTCATTAGTCTGTACATTATCTACTCCAAAATAGTAGCTCAGACAGTTCAAAAGACATCAAGAGCTCTCTTCCACTCTCACCAGAAGCTAATCCAAGCCCAAGCACCTGGATCAGCTCAACACTGCTGCTTCCTGAGGAATCAGAAGTAGTGGAGCCATGCTGTAGTACACCCCTCCACACCCCATTCCCACTAAACCTTGAATCATCTGGGCCTCCCTCAAACTTCAAACGCATCAGGAGCCATCACAGCAAACAATTTAGATCCATTTCTATTTTGCCTGGTGTTTTGGTTTGCTTGGTTTTTTTGTTTTGCAACATGGTCTCACTATGTAGTTCAGGCTGACCTTGAACCCACTATGTAGAGCCCAGTTGGCCTTGAACTCAGGGTGATCTTTCTCACTCAGTTTCCCAAATGCCAAGATTACAGGCATGCACAGCCATCCCCACCTTTTGACCTATTTCTATGTTATGATTACAAGAAGGCTCAGCTCCAACAAGCAATCTAAAGTTTTTCCCACTGTGACCAATTGAGGACATTATAACAAAAGATGTTCCTCAAAGAGAGTTTTGTGAAAGTCAGAAAAATGAAACTTGGTAGGGATATTCTAAGCCACACATCTAAAAGGAGCCATCTCTGAGTGAGAAACCTATCCCTATCTATGGAGGCTAGAGAAAGCTATTTAATCTCTTTGAACTTCCTGTAAAGTGGGGATGAAACTTGCTTGCCTAGTTCCCAACTCAAAGAACAGTGGCAATGCGTCAGTGAAAACACAAGTGAGCAGTGTCTGGTTATGCTAACAACAAGCAAAAATGTGGCACTGGCCTAACATATCTGATTGGTGTAATTAGGCAAAAGTTTGCAGAGAAGACATATTCTACTAGTAAGTCACCATTAAGTTACTCAAGGCACTCTCCACACCAGAATAAGAAGGAAAAACAAAGGAGAACCTGCACCAGCAACCACAACCCAAGTTAATCACACAGGAAATCATCAGGCACACAGCCCTTTCCCACTGAACCTACCCCAACAATCTCTTTTAGACCAGAGCTAAGAATGGGAGCCCTATTTGACTCAACACTGATACCCAGGAAGTCATAGCACGCAGGTATCTTTTTAGGCATAACTGAGCAGGGAGGACTGAATTACTGGAGTCTGGTTCTTCACACCAATTGCTTGATGGATACTGTAAATATTCAGGGGACACATGGGTCCTTTACAAGGGTTCTTAATGTTGTGATTGACACCTCAAATAGCAGTGTGTCAATTATACCTCTTGTCTTAAAGACTTCTTGGCTCCAACACCCATATGTACTTGGACACCCACTTAACAAATGTCTGCTTGCCTATGAGAAATGAATAACATGAAAATTAGCAGATCAGCATTTCAGGGATTGCCTACCACTGAAATATTAAAAGTGAATATGGTAATAACCAATTGATGCCTGCAGGGTTATAAATCTAGCATTCACAGCTATGCTGTCGCCTCCACCAAGACTCGAATGAGTGTTGGGGGTAACAGGAAGGTCGGGGTCTCCTAGCCAGCTTCCTCAGAGTCATGGGCAAAGTGGGACCCACTGGACCTCCGTCACTAACTGCACAGCAGCTCACCTTTTATTCAGGAGTGGAGGAGGCCTTGATGGGAGTTCTGCTACAGTCGGCAAGTGTCATGGGACACACGGCTCATTTCCTTCCCTATCTGTCGTGGAAGGCATGGAAGTGAACATCTTTAATTCTTAGGACCTTCTGCGAATGCTGTCTCCCAAATGGGATGAAATCTAGTAGAATGTCGAGGACCCACGGTAAAGTGACCGTGCCCAAAACAGGCGTCTACCAGTCTGACCTCTGTGATCCTTACTCGGATCGCCGAGAGTGCCCGCTTTACCTCTATTCAAAAGAGGTAGCAGGTGCAGCGCCGCGGAGGGCAACCTGGCGTCCCCGCGCACACTCTTCCTGCAAACATCTCCCAAGCCCGCGCCGCCCGGCCAGCCCGTTACCTGCTCCGCCCCGTAGACCGTGGCGAACTGGACGAAGTCTTCTATGCGGACGAAGCCATCCCCGTCTCCGTCCAGGGCATCGAACACAGCGCGGAGGCGCGCACCGTCCTCCGTGCCGGCCGCGGGATCTCCGGACAGCGGCGGGGCCTGGCTCGGGTCCGAGGGCAGCCCATGGCTCGCCAGCAGCCGCTCGCCGTCTGTGTGCGAGGCCCCAGGGGGCAGGCCGCGGCGACAGGGCGCGCAGTCCTCGGGCTCCGCGGGCCGCGCATCAGGTAGAGCGTCCCCGCGCGCCGACTCCGCCGGGCCCGGTGGGGAAGGGGGCCAGCCCGGCTCCATGCTCCGACGCCGGCAGAGCTAGGGGTGC